GTGTGTGTGTGTGTGTGTGTGTGTGTGTGTGTGTGTGTGTGTGTGTGTGTGAAAGTGAGAGAGAGAGAGAGAGAGAGAGAGAGAGAGAGAGAGAGCGATTTCGCTATCTGCACTAAGTTTAGTTTCAACCTTTAGGAGCATATTCAATATCCATGTACAGAGTAGAACTTCGTTGGCTCATTACTGGGACATTTCATCTAAAGAGACCACAGTGAAATACCACCCTGTATGTCCTTAGAAACAGAACACAGCAGCCTCTATAGACTCTGATGCCAGGGCAACGCCAGAAGCCAGCATGCTCGTGGAGGGCAGCTCTGCCAGGCTTGTAGGTGGAAACAATGAAATCCCAACCTCCTGGGTGGCTGCGCCACAGACTCAGCCCAAAGACTTGGGTGCACCCACAGAGATGGGAGCCTAACATGGTGCCAAACCCATCACTTTCTGCCTGGCTGCTTATCTTTCAATATCATCAGAACATGTACTCGCACACACACATACACACACACACACACACACACACACACACACACACACACACACACAGACACGTGCGCACAAATGCACACACACCATAATCCCAGTAATAGCATTCTTATAATAATAATAACAGTGAAAAAGGCAAAACCAAATAGCTAAATGCACAGATTTTGAAATTCCACCTATATTCCCTTTCAATTTAGTAGAATCGATGCTAGATCACAATTTAAACACTAATAAATGCATGTTGGAACCTATTGCACAAAAGCATAGAAATGCTCTTCATCCCTATAAAAACATACAAACCGAAGGCTACAAAAAATAAAAGAAGCTTGCAAAACATCTCACAATTTTATCTTATATGCCTGTAAATAAAGCTGGACCACGGAAACCAAACAATTGGATGGGAAAATATGATAGAAGGCTTAAAATAGAATAAATAATTTTATAAAGTTAAGTTTTCTTTTTTTTAACCCCCCAAATCTTAAATTCAATATTATATATTCTATTTGAGTTTTCTGTTTTCGTGAAGGTGGTGTTGAGCGAGACCGTGTGCTGGGAGGCTGGTCCCAGAGCTGCCGGCTGCGTGCACCCGATGTCTAGCATCAGCAGCTATGAAAACAACTTTGCAGGAGCTCGCCTGCTGAGAAAGCGTGACAGGACCAATCACTAACTGATCCTAGTGTTCATGCTCGGAAAGGACAATTCGGCCTTGGCTGTCAAATGGAGCTTGGCAGAAGTGAAACAAGGCGCCCGGAAGCTTCCACCTGACACAGCTCACTCTGCTTCATCTCTGAGCGAGGTAAGGCTACAGGTCAGACTAAAGGGCAGAAGGGCACTGGGAAACTGTCTGCAGAGCGGACAGGCGCATGATGGAATCTTAGAAAAATAGGTATCTCTGCTGCTGAGGTTTGTCAGGCTAACGTGGTGAGAGAAGCTGCTGGGGCGGAGGCGCCCGGCTCGGACACTAGCTGCAATGTCCGCCTCACTGAATACTTAGATCTGTCAACTTAGCACCATCGCAAAGTCAAGTGATTCCGAAAGTAGCTACAAAGTTATAAATATAGATCATGACATTACACAGCCATACTAAGTTTGATCTGAACTGTAAATCAACTTTATTTGAATTTGGAGGCTTCTAACTGTTTAATTCTTTAGTTTTACCACACGGGAAAATACCTAAATTCTAATGTAACTGCACTGTGAGAACACGGTCTTGCAGAATGCTTCAGCAGCACTTGTGTTCTGAGGTAGACAGGTAATATTGACGCAAAAACCCTCGTATAGTAACTCTAGAAATGATTTGGATGAATAGCTAACTCAGAAAACTGAATAATCTAAACAGTCCTGGGCTTAAATAGAGAGGTGGATTTTGATCAAATAGAAACAAAGAGCTTGCTTTCGTTTAGACTGAGTTAATTTAGATGTTTTTTTCCTACTGTCTCATTAGTCGCTGCTTCTGGCATCGTGCATGTGTAAGAGGAAGTAGAAGAGTAAGTGGTGTTTCCAAACCCAATCCCAACTGTCAAAGCAAGCAAGCAAACAAAAATTCCAGTTGCTAAGGCAAAGACTCAGAAAGCCTGGCCCTCAGACACACCAAGATCCTCGTATGCTCACCCAGAGCAGAGGTCTACTGGGATTACAGGGTTTTACAATTCCCGTGGGGCCTGGGAGGGCAGGAAGTGCGAGAGGCAAGAGGGCACCCCCAGACTGAAAGAGGTCCCTGGGTCCCCAGGACCCTTCTCCTTACTCTGCCTTCAAACCCCTTAAGGGAATAAAGTTGGATATGCTGGCATCTTCATTTTCTAACCTAACAAAACAAAAAGCCATGTGAGAAAGGGGCGTGTGTGTTAAACAGTATCCTGTCTGTGACCGAAAAAGCAAATTCTGTTGAACAGAGTTGCTTCAAGGGAGCAGGTTGCTCAGTTACTTTTAATGAAAAGGGGACCCAAAGTATGCATGTTAACCCCACGAGCAGGAAGGCAAGCCTGGAACGCCAATGACCAGGAACATGGAGGCTAGCGGCTCCCTCCTAAGTGTCTTATAGTCTCTCCACAGGATGGCTTGTGTTGTTGGGTAACTGACAAACACAGCCATCAAATTTTGCCAGCAGAAGGAGAACAGAAATGAAACTGCAAGAACTTCAGTGATGGCCTTTCCAAAAAAGCTATTTTTTTTTAAGAACTTTTCAACAAGCCAAAACGCCACACTGGCCATACAACCTTTAGTTTGCCTTACTGAGGGTGCCGGATTGCAGCCACATGACACTGAGGAGTGAAGAGGGTCTTGCCTTGCCCAGCCAGCACAGGCCACCCCAGAATGCACAGCCTAAGTCTCAACCTTGGGAACGGGCTTCTGCAGTACTCTAGAAGGTGGGAGATTAAACACCATGGCTAAATCATAGCATTGTGCAAGCCTCTTTGGGTATACGTTAAATTAAATTTTATATATCTCTTAAGTCTTCAGGAAGCTAAAGGCAACATAAATATTTACCATGAAAAGACTTTCAATAACTTAGGAAGGACTTAAAAGTACAAGTATTTCTGAGGCTTATCATGAAACCTAAGCCACGAATTAAAACTGAAATGAACTCAAGATTCTCAAGACCCGGAAAGCAAGCAGAGGTGCTGTGTGTCAGACGTGGTGTAGAAACGTGTCACTATTTCACTTATTCTCTGGCCTGTGGACCTGAAGCAGAGACGAGCGAGCTGCGAAGTGTTTTCATCTTCTGTAAACGCGTGCTGGTAGTGTCTTGTTGGGAGTGGATTCTCTCATACAAAAGTTATAAATATTCTCTATTCAGAAATCTGGTCCGCATGGCACCCAGAGGCAACATTCCACCGCACTCTTGGCTGTGTAGAGCTCTGGGTGTGGGCTGAGTCTGGTTGGGCTTACAGCAAGTCCATCTTGGGTCTGTAGTGTAGCAGGAGGGGCGCCTTCTGCAAGACAGAAAACAAAGGTGGCTAAGGGAGTTGCAAGGCGCCCATGACATGCACTCAAACCACAGGCACACAAGTGTACCGCAACACCACACTGAATTTAGTTCTGGGTGACGAAGAGTAATTGTCACTGGTCCCAGGTGACCCAGTGGTGACCTCTGTGTGTTTGGGGCTCATGATAGGGCTATGCAGCTAGAACTACACTGGCCCTGGTCTCTCATGCAGTCTCAAACAGTCTCCACACCTTCCCCTGGTCAGCACCAGCTCCTGGTAATCCTGGTCTTTGGCTGGCCCCGTAGTCGCTATGCCCTTCTTTCTAGGCAACAACATGGCTAGAAGTAGAAGAGCTGCATTAATGGACAGGGGCCACAACACCAGTTTCCTGTCTCAGAAAGGCACCTAAAAGCTTGAGAGTTTGCTGCAGCTAACTCACACATCTGCTCCCCTGGACTCAGGGGACTGAGTAGGGGTGTAAGTCAAGCCCCCGGCTGGCCGGATGAATCCAGAAAGACAGCTATTCCACAGCAATGTTTGCAAAGAAAAGATGTGCACAGCAAGTACCGATCAAGAGTCTGTCTAAAAATCTGGTATTCAAAAGAACCACCCAGTCTCACCTTGAATCTCCACCTTGTAACAACCACGAACTTGAGAGTGTGGTCCTTGCCCAGGATCTCTTCGTTGCATAAAATGTCCAGCTGGTGGGAGAAGGGGCTTCAATTAGATACACGTCCAACCTACCTTTAAACTAAGGCCAACGGTGATAACACGAGCACTCTCCTATGCCCCTCCGAGCCGTGTGGAATATGGCACGTCTGCTTACTCATTAACAGCACTGTCCAATGGGACAGCCAGGTGCAAACACAAGTTACAACAGGAAAGGCGCACTTCCATGAAAACCAGCGCTTCGCCAGGAGCCAAGGACACGGCGGTGTACTTCCCAGCTGTGTTGCAGTGGGTCGCAAGAGGCTTATCCTGGTTGCCCTGGGCAACCTGCCCTGTCTCTACCCCGGCTCTGGGCTTCTCTGAGGAAGCTCTAGAGGCATCACATGTGGACCCATCCCAGGATCTCAACTTGTTGCACCTCAAATCATTGTCTTCCCTCCAAGCGGAGTGCAATTTAAGTTCCCGTGTTCATCTACTGACCCTTGAAGGGCCTGGCCACCATCAACAGGTCAGAAAGCCACAGCAGTGACTCCAAGCTACCCAAACAGAAAGGTGGAAAGGCACAGCAAACAAATCACAAGACCATTTCTCTACCAAAAGACCTGGTGCACACAGAGCATACAGGTCTCCACACACAGCCACAGGGACTGGGCTACACTCACCTGCTAGCCTGCACCCTCATGGGGTTCAGACAGGGTGATTCACCACGGCTGCCCTGCCCAGGATCCCTTACCCCTAAGCACACGTTCTCAACATGGCGGGAGAGGTGTCCCCGTGGACTTTCCTCACTTATTTAGTAGACTTCACTGCTTAGAGCAGTTTTGGGCCCCCTCCTCCTCACTTGCATAATAGGTCTCCACAGAGAAAGGCTGGTACAGCATGCAGACTGTGTGTCCTATGCTTCAGTCTGCGAGGAGCCACGCTGTCCTCTTCCTGACAACGGCCTATGCCCAACTGCACCCAGTCTGGTTTCTCCTTGACCGAAGTCTGTTGTGTGTCAGCTCCTGTGACCAGCACTGGCATCCACTGCTCCAGGCCATCTGGATAGCACTTGCCACTACACAGTTTGTACACAGCTGCTCAAGGAGATGCATGATGACATCTCGCATTTTGTTTTTCTCGGTTTTAGTTTGTAGTTTCCTCAGTGTGTGCATCAATGACTCAGGTGGTCTTGGTATCTCCCCAGACAGGAAACAAAGGTTGCTCTTACAGGCCACATAAGAGTGTGTGTTTCCTGTATACAACTGATGAATGGAAAACCAGCCTTTGGGTCCATGGAAGCTCAACTGTCTGCTGTCATCTTCAAGGAGTGACGTTTACCTTCTGATACACAGGTATTGCTGCAATGTAACTACTGTCCCAGCAAGGCACAGCGTCCCCACCCTACAGCAGTTCTTGTTACTATCCCCTGCCTTATTCAGCATCTGGCATTAGGGACTGCAGCGCTCTGAGAGCAGTGTGAGATCCACTTGGGATACTCATGCCCTCTTGGCCAGCTGCAATGAAAATGCCTCACTTCTTGTTGGTGCTCATGGAGAAACGTTTCTGCACATGGAAGGCAGTCACTTTTGAATTTCTGATGTCTTTAGCTCTGCACAGTGCACAGAAGCCACTTCAAGTCAGATGGACGCCTTGACCCTCACAGGATCCAAGGCTCCCCTGACCTTCCCATCTTCTCCTCTACCTTATTTTCCAAACAAAATAAATCTGGACTTGCTTTTTCTGGGGCTCGCCTTTATTCTGTGTCGTGTACCACCCCCAAACCACTTGTGTTGGCTCAGGGCTGAGGTGGGCCCCTTGACAGTCCAAAACCCTGGCTCCTGGTTCTGAAACACAGCCCTGAGAGAGCACTGTGGCAGAACTGCCAGGAATGCCTTTCAGTGTGGCTATAAGTGAACAGCACAGACAGAGACACTGATAAACAGTCACATGTTAACATATATTAACATAACTCAGTTCACTGCTGGTGGGTGCAATTCTCATTCTAGTGTAGGTATTTGCTGTCACTGCAGGCTGTCAGAGCAAAAGAGAGACCCTCAAGTTCAGGTCATGACTTAAACCTGTCTCCCAGACCACGGGGCTGAAATGTAGTTTTTAGCACATGGACCTAGGGGACACTAACTACAAGAAGATCCTCTCGCCCCGTGATTTCTAGGGGCTTGTGGCTAGGTCACTCTACTCTCTGCCTTTCCCATCTCTTAACTGGCTTCTCCACCCCCATTTGTGTCTCAAATTTTCCTCTACTGCATACTAATACAAGGTTCTTGACACTGGGTTTAGGCTTAGCAGATAAAAATCTGAGCTGTTTCATCCTACAATGTTAGGATGTTAGATGCACCAATAGGCTCGAGCTGAGGTACGGCTCAGCCGCTAACAGCTCTGTATTCCACTCTCCGAACGACACTCAACCACACACCTGCACCTGCTACAACACGCTGCGCTTTCTGTCTCGATACGGCTGTGCGACCTACAATCCTTTCCCAAACCGCCTCAGAACTGCTTTCATTGGTTTATGACAGGGTTTCTCTGTGTAGCCTTGGCTGTCCTGGACTCACTCTGTAGACTAGGCTGGCCTTGAACTCACAGTGATCCGCCTGCCTCTGCCTCCCTGAGTGCTGGGATTAAAGGCGTGCACCGCACCCGGCAGCCTCAGAAGTCTTTAAAGGCAACACTTGAAATCACTGACCCTTCCTTGGTGCAGCAGGACCGGCTCCTGTTGTTTTGGCCCAAATGCCACACAGCACTTGGGCATGCTGACATGTCTCTGCCCTGAGCCCCAACAACAAGCTCTGGGTCTCTAGTTTCAGTTATTAATTTTAAGCTATAAGTGTCATAGCCATCTTTCATTCATTTATCCCCCACCACCTCATTCATTACATTAAAAAGCAAAGTGCTGGGACTAGAGAGAGGGCTCAGTGGTTAAAAGCATTTTGATATCCCACACCCGCATGGTGGCCAACAAATGTTTGTAACTCTAGGGGATCTGATGCCCTCGGTTGACCTTTTTGAGCACCTGGCATGCACACGGTGCATACACATGTAGGTAAAACATTCACACATATATAAAGCTTTCATAAAAATTGATCTCCAAACAAGAGGACAGCAAGATCAGCTCAGCGGATGAGGGCACTTTGTTGTCACGCCTGACAACCTATGAGTTTAATTCCCAGGATCCTCATAGTGGAGAAAAAGAACTGACTTTCAAGCTGCCCTCCGATCTCCATGCAAGGGCCATTGCACATGTACACACACACACACACACACACACACACACACACACAAATCTAATTTAAAAAAAAAAAAATCTCCAAATAAGGCTGTTAAAAAGAAGGGGTGTCTGTATTTTTTGTTGTTGAGTTGAGTGGTTTTTCAAGACAAAGTTTCTCTGTCTAACAGCCCTGGCTGTCCTAGAACTAACAAAGATCCACCTGCCTCTGCATCCTGAGTGCTGGAATTAAAGGTGCACACGAACATGGTCCAGCTTGTTGCTATTTCAACAAACAAGACAGGCAAGAAGGATCTATCCCAGCTCCTTGGCTGATGACTACCTCATTGAAGGAGGAAAGGTTGAGTTTCTTGGCGATGAATTTCTTCAGGTGCAGCACTGTTGCTTGGGCTGAGCATCGGATCCACTTCCGCTTGAGGCCTCGTAGTTTGCTACTGTTGCATTCTAGACAGATGCTCACCTGAAAGAGAAAGGAAACAGGTCAGAACTGCCACTCTCAGACTCTTCCTGGATAAGCACCATCCCCTACATCGATGAGTCCTGGTCTTCTGAAATCAGAACAATACTGTAGAGGGAGTTTTATCTCAGCCATTTTATACCTTCTTTTAAAACCTCCTTAGAGTTGTAATGCTGAGAAGAACCGCAGCTAGTCAATTTTGGTCTCCTTAACTTATAGTCATTCTGAGAGTATGTATCTGTAATTGCCAAGGGGACGGCGTCTCTCATGTTCTCAAATGGCTGCCCTTGTCTAGACAAACCCTGGACTGAGCAAGATTGGTGAAGGAAAGAGAGCTGTGCTCTTGACATAGAAAGGGTCATCACGAGAAAAGCCTTGGCCTGACACTAGAAAGGGTGCTCTGGATGAGCCATTACTTTTCAGGGTCAGAGTACAGGTGTGGGATGGAAACCTCCAAGTGGAGTTAACTGCTGGATCGTAACAAGTCAAAGGTACTAGGCAATGCAAGCGGAATCTGCTTCAGAGAGACAAAGCCTCATCCCAGAACTGCAGAAAAAGACCCTCCTCCAACATGGGTTCACTCAAGCTTCTGAAAATTCAGGTAAAAGAATTAAAAAAGAAATTAACTGAAATGTGTGTCATCAAGATCACAACAGACACAAAAGGAAAAATTAAAGATATAAGATACTGAGAGTAAAGAACATTGTATAGGCATAAAAACACAACAAAATCCATGGCTAGTATAAGTCAGCACCTTGCCGCTAAGGTCCCTCCTGGCTCCTTCCATCCATCTTCTTGAGCCAGTCTTTCCACTCTTGCTCTGCAATGTGATTTCATGATCATCTGTTTTCTGACCACCAAGGCCCTGCCCCCTTCCTCTTTTTTCTAAGTTAGGAATGCTTCTTTTGCTTTCTTGGTTGGTTGTTTTTGTTTGATTTCATTTTCTTGTTTTGTTTTGTTTTTTTTTTTTTTGTTTGTTTGTTTTTTTTTTGTTTTTTTGGAGGAAGGGCTTCACAGAGCAAGCTGACCAGAAACTCTCTTTAGCTTAGGTTGAGCCTGAACTCGTAATCCACCAGCAGCAACCAGGTGAGATTAGAGTGGCTCACCAGCAATGTTAAGACTCAAAGGTGAGGCATAGCTCATTAGGGCAGAAGGGTCAGGAGTAACTGAGATGATCCTTTTCCCACATAGGTGCTGCTGTTCAGACCCCAAGTGTATGCAGGGGAGGCCGAGACCTCAGGGTGGAGGACAGGCTTTGTTACACAACTCTCCTCTGAGAAGGCCACACACAGGCTTTTGGATGTGTCTTACTTTTTTCCCCGAGTGTCTCTTTCTCTTACCCCTTTTGTCTAAGCCTATACTAAAACTAAAATACCTTCATGAAACCTAACTTTGCTTCATAAAAAATATCTTCTGGAAGAAAGCCTTAGATTACTTAAAAATGTAAACTTAAGCATTTTCAAAAATCTAAGAGGACCCACTACAAGCATAAAAAGATACAGCATTTCCAAATTACTGGGGGAGAAAGAAGAAACCAACCTGTGCACTGATCAACAGGAAAAGAAAGAAACAAGACAGCTACTCCAGTGGAGACAGCTGTTAAACAGGATCTTCAAGATGAGTTTAAAATGCAACCTAAACCCCACACTGCACACCTAAAGCATCAGGACATGGAAACGTCTAGAGAGAAACCAAAGAAAGTGGCAACACCAAAGCCTGATTAGTCGGGAGCCAAGGCAAAAACACGGCCAAGAAATGGAGAACTCAACTGGAAGAGCACGCTCATCAAGAACATGGGACTGCCACAAGCCGTGTTCTCTAAGACAACACAGCTGCAAGGAGCAGAGAGAAACTCATCGGAGACAAGTGATGATTAGGGAACATTAAGAAGAAACAGTGTGAAACCAACACTAGTTCTTCCTTGGCTAGGTTGGTACTTTATTGTCCATCCATCCGACTTAGCACACGCTTCAACTGACCCCTCACTGAAGCCATGGCATCATCACCATCCATTTCACGGCACGGAAGGTGAGATGCAGGCGGAGTCGTGAAGGGAACTGCAGCTTAAGGGCAGTATCAGGGATGAGAAGAGAGCCTGTAGGTCCATGTATATGAACACCATGTGTACAGCCAAACAGTGACCTGAAGAATAGCTCTCCTAGGCTCTCTGCACAACTGTACTGTTACCTTGGTTGGCAACTTGACACACCTGGAAAGAAGGGATCTCAGTTCAGGAACTGCCTCCTTCAACTGCTCTGTGGGAAAATCTGTGGGGAATTTTCCTTATAGCCAATTGACGGAGGTGGGCCCAGACCACCAGGTATGATGCCACCCCTAACAGGTGGTCCTGTGTTGTGCAAGAAAGCTAGGTGAGCAAAGCAAGGAAAGGGAGTCAGCAAGCAATATTCTGCTATGGTCTCTGCTTTGGTTCCTGCCTTCAGGTTTTTGCTTTGGCTTTCCTCCATGATGGACTTGTAACCTGTAAGCCAATAAATCCTAGCCTTCTCAAATTACATGTGGTCAATGTTTTATCACAGTAACAGAGAACAATCTAAGAAAGAAACTGCTATCAGGAACACGGGGTGTAATTGTAATCGACCTGACTCTGTGGCTTTAATGTCTTGGACTTTTTTTTATGAGATAAAGGTAAAGAATTTTGGAACTTTGTACCGGAAAAACCATTGAGAGGGTGTGAGGGTGTGTGTGTATTTGAGACAATGTCTCAGTATGTAGTCCTGGCTGTCCTAGAACTCACTGTGTAAGAGCAGGCTGGCCTGGAATTCACAGAGATCTACCTGCCTCTGCCTCCTGAGTGCTCGGATTAAAGGCATGTGCTACCATGTGAGCCATTAATGTTTATGTGATATTTACATTAAGAAACTGATTTCTGGGCTGGAGAGATGGCTCAGCTGTTAAAGGCTAGGCTAACAACCATAAATATAAGAAACTGATTTCTGGTCAGTTGGAGTTAAAGAATCGGCGGTGATTAACAAGAGACCAGCACCACTAAAGTGAAACCTTTGGTTTACTGGGATAATTGATGCTGGTCAGCTGGGGCCAAAGTATCAGCTGTGTTTAGTAAGAGACAAGTGAAATCTTCCTCAAAGTACTTTCTCAGGATAACCCACAGAAGCTACAGTCCATGGCAGGGATGAAGGCTGAACATTAAGCCAGCAGCAGAATTTAGCATATGATGTGGAAGAGTCTCCCGTAAGATGCTGGTTTTTCAGGCATGTAAGGGTCATAAAGAACAACTGAGGCTTAGTAGGGCATGGCAGGGCTGGAATCTTCCTAAGGAGAGGCTAAGCTCTGAGTGTGTGTGGAGGGGAGGGGTCACTGGCAAAGGTGCAGCCTCATTTGCCCTGGAAACGCCGAGACTGAAAGCACCATGGAGAGACTCTGAAGTTTAGTACCACGTGGCAGCACTGGAGTCTCCCTGATGCAACTTCTGGGGATGAAGTCCCAGTGCAGTCAGAGCTCTGCCAACTGGAGATGCCAGGACTGTGGGGAGACAACCAAGGGCAGCGTCAAGTGTGGAATGGAGAGGGCTTGAGCCTCTTAGACAAGCTGTATGTGTTACAGAGTCAAAGAAGAGGAGCTGCCAAAGCCCTTTGGAACTCACAAGAGCCAGAGCCTCAGGTGTCAGATATTGAACTACAAGATTTCAGAGCTACACTGCTGGACTTTGGTTTTCCAAAGTGTGATTGTTTTTATAGCCTGGTTCTTCCCTTCTGAAACAATAAACTACTTAACTCAACTTTGATTTTACAGTAGCCCAGGACTGAGACTTGGGATTTTTAAAGAGACTCACTGATCCATCTCTCCAGCCCCCAAAATGAAAAGTTAAAAAAAAAAAAAAAAAAAAAAAAAAAGTTTATTATTTATACAGTGGTCTGTCTGCACGTACACCTACACACCAGAAGAGGGCATCAGATCTCATTATAGATGGTTATTAGACACCATACAGTTGCTGGGAACTGAACTCAGGACCTTTGGAAGAGCAGACAGTGCTCTTAACCTCTGAGCCATCTCTCCAGCCCAAGATGAAACTTCTTAAACACTCTGGGACTTTAAAGTTGTTCTGTATTTTATATTCTGATAATCAACATGAGATTCTGGGACAAAGAAAAAGCTGTATTTTAATAGTGATATGTTTATATGTCAAATTAACGAAGGGTAGACTTGGTATGGCTAATCCTCATTGTCTTTTTGACACATATGGGAGGAGGAAACGTCAATTCAATTTAGAAACTGCCGATATTGGTCTGTGGCATTCTGAAGGGCATTTTCTTGATTGCTAATTGATGGAAATAGGCCCAGCCCACTGTGGACAGTGTTACGCCAAGGAGGTGATCCTGAGCTGTAAGCTAGACAAGCAAGCTAGGGGAAGGAAGTAAAAGCAGGGTTCCTCTGCGGTCTCTGGTTAGTTCCTGCCTCCAGGTTCCTGCCCTGAGATCTTATCTTGGCTCCTCTTGATGATGGACCATGACATGAAAAATGAAATGACCCCCCTGCCCAAGTTGCTTTTGGTCATGCTGTTTAGCACAGCAACAGAAAAGCAAACTAGAGCCTGGACACAGGAGGAGCTGCACAGAGCAACACACAGGGGCCTCTAAACAACAGAGACGGAATCAGAAAGTCCTACAGCCAAAAGAGTGTGTTCAGGCAGATACTTGAGAACACTTATCTAGAAGGGCAACAGTAACACCTTCACACCTCTCCAGAAGTAAGGGTTGTAGAGCACAACTTATCAGTGCTGCTATTGTACCCAAGGTACTCAGGAAGTACACAGCCTGTGTGAGATCAAAAACACACACAGAGCTTAGCTCCAAAGGCTAGACCAACTCAATAAAAACAAAATTCACCTCACATATGCTTTAAGAAAGGAACAAGCAGCATGGTATAAAAAGGAAAAGGCAAACATTCACAACAGACAGCAACATTGAAATTTTAAACTGCAAAACAAAGATCAGAAAAATATTTTGAACAATTCTATGCCAATCTGCAGAAAACTGACACAAGCAATGCCTGGGGGGACTGGGCAAGGTCTAGAGAGCCGGTGGCTTCCAAAAGCACAGGGCTGAGTGCAGGCAAAGAACACTGGTGTTCCATACAGGCTAGAAGGCATATGGCCCACAAGGCAGGGCCTATGAAACCCAGGGCACTTCCTGAGAGTTGCTTTAAGGTACTACAGACAGTGTCACCTGTTACTGAAGCTCAGTATTGGCACAGCAGATGAAACCAGGGGCCACACCAAGGTGAGTACAATGCTGGCTGCCCACACGGTAGTCAATGGTCCTCTCACCACAGGAAAGAACTCCTGCCCCTATGTATCTGCAAACCTACCCTGTTTCTGTGGTGCTGACTACCATTAACTGAAGAAACAGACAAGTTAAAATTAAGATTCCATCATTCCAGTCCCAAGGAGACTTTTTCATTTACTATGTCTTCACACAGGGCCAAGACCACCCCCACCATCTGCAGCAATCTCACGGCTACCCATGCATGTCCGAAGTTAGACTGGGGACAGGACCTCTCTACCCCGAGGAAATCATGTCAAGTTTTCTTGGTGGTGGTGAACATTGGCTCTTTGCCTAGTCACAACACGCACTGATTATTACACGCTGATCCAACCACCCATGGGGCAGAGTTTTGTCTTAGGTTTTATGCAGACAGCACTCCCTACGAATAATAACAGCTTTATTGCTTTTTAAGTGTCTCACTCTCCCTGCTGTTTCCCTGCTGCTGGGACAGGACATGTAAACGGAGTGACAGCCAATCAGACATGGTATTTCTTTATTCCTTGTTTTAGTAAGACAATGACCCAAGCTTATCAAAAACATCACAAGTATTAGAACTCACAAACTCAGATGAAACACTAGGAAGTTCTGTAGATAGAAATACAGAATTTTGTCAGATCCTTCTACGGCACTTCTATGATATTTCTGTCACCTGATAATGTGGCAGATGAGATGTGGATAGTCCTCAACATTGCATTGTTTCCCTTCACTATGCTGACGTGTCACTTCCCTTGGCGACACTGCAGAGAAGGCGCCAAACCACTAACACTGAGTATTTACAGTCTGATTATGGACTACAAGTCTGTACGTCTGAAATACTTTACAGTCAGCATATGTTGTTCTGATAATTAAAACAGATAAACAGAGGTAATATCAAGAAAAGTTAAGGAATTAATAAGAAAGCTTTCTACTGTTTTATCTTATCATATTTTCATGAGACACTATAGTATGCAAACATGGAAATAAAGTGATGTCAGAAAATTCACGAAGGAAGCATTTTCACCTGCTCGTCACTCCTGTGGTAATCGTTGTCCTCTTCCTGCTTCTCTTCTGCTGTCTCTTTATTTGAACTGTCATCTGCTTTGGTTTCACCTTTTAGCACAAACAGAAAATGTTGTACAGGTTGAAATATCTCTAATCCAAAATTCAAAAGTTCTAGCATATAAAACTCTTCAAGGTGTAAGCGTAAAATATCATACTTAACCCCATATGATAGGCTGTATGTAGAAAAAGGTAGAATTAAAATATCATATGTAATTTTCCAAAGTGGAAAACAAATTCTGAAACACTTTTGGTTCCAAGCATTTCGGACAAGCAAAACCCATATTAAGAAATCCAAAATGTTATAATATTTGTAAAAGTTCACAGTATACTAAAAATGATACTGACAGGTACTATACTGAGAGCATATAGCCGGAGCTCAGTGACAGCAATTAAAACCATGGTGCGTGTTTGTTGAGGAACGGAGCAACTCTGTGGGATGAGGGCCTAAGGACTGACTGCAGCTGGGGAGGCAGGTTTTGAATTATGTGTCAGGGGAGGGGGGGCTCAGTGGATTCTCTAATATTGTGTCTTAAGGGACTCAGAAGATGGAGTCAATGACCCAAATTGGTAAGCACAGCAGAGAGAAGCCTCCAGGGCCACTCAGCCCCCACCACAGCAACCTTCCAGAAGAAGCCTGGCTCACGCAACCTTACTGTTTGGACACACACTGAGGACCAGGGTCCCACTTTTGTCCACTTACCCACTCCCACCCTGCCTAGTCTGGCTCCCACTAGGACCTAGGCAACTTAGGAAGTTAAGCATCTACAGAGTGGTCTTGAGACTTCTCAGGAACTTCAACATTCACACTAGCAAAGTGTCAATACTCAAAGATTTGAATAACTTATTAAATACAGAGTTAAAAGTGCCAATTAACTTTATGCTCAAAACCCACTGGCATTTGGCCTCTTTACCACAAGGCAAGCGAAGTTAGAATCTTATCTAAGGATATCCACCTTCCACAGTTTTTTCTGAGGCTCTCTGTCCAATTCTGTTCTCTTCCACATGACCCTGGGCATTTTCTACTATCTCTTGTACTATAACCCACAGGTCCAGCTCCCAGGGTTGATGAGCACGGTCACTTTGTGACAAAGCCACCTAAGGCTTGAGACAAAGTGCTCTGTGAGGGAAAGCCTGGTAAATGGACTTCTGGATTGCATGGTGGCCTAGAGCCGCTACTCACCATTGCGGGGATCTGAGTGCTGTTTCGCTGAGCACGCCTCCCCCTTGGTGTCACCTGGCACCTCCATGCCCAGCTTGTGATAGAACTCCCTCTGCTTCCTCATTTCCGCTATTAAGAACGGAGACAACTTTAATATTCAGCAGGCAAGGACTTAACTTTAATAATACAACTGCTCATTAATATCACATGAAGAAACCTGCAGAGTTAGATGATGTGTCTGAAGGATGCTACTAGTAAGACAATAAGCACAGGTCAAAGTGGGAACCTTAATGTCACGCTACAGGTATGAAGGAACATGGAGACAGGACTCCGTGTGAAGAACTGGTGTGACAGGACAGGCTCTGAATCTGTAGGGACCCTGTTCCAGGACTATGACCCAACCTCCTCAGCCCTTTAGAATGGTGTGGGGTTATTCATCACCTCGAGCAGGACAGATCCTGGGAAGGCAGTTTGAGGGGCTCCCCAGAGTGTGACAGACCCTGAGGAAGTGGCTCATACAATCTTTCACACATCACCACTGACACTGTGGCTGCTGGTGAATTCCTATATCCCATGTACCATTTTGGCACAGGCAGCTTAGTGATCCAAACATGCTGCCGAGTGCTCTTACTGTCCCTGTGGCCATGATGGTCACAACACAGAACCATCTGGCTGCCAACAAGTGCGGAAGAGTTCTCACTAGGCTGAGGGTAGGAGTTGCACCTGGAAGACAAGGACAGACCCAGAACTACCCTGTCCTGAAAGCCTGTGTTTGTGTGCCAAATACTCTTGGTCACATCACAGACTGGCAGTGGCCAGTGGCCGTGTCTGTCTTGTACTGGGTGAAGACTGCCCCCAGTGGCTGTGGGCAGCAGTGGCTATGAAAGAAATACAAGAAAAAGAGGAAGCAGAAACCTCTAACCTACAACAGACATCTAGTCATGAAGCTATCCAAGGCTTCAGATTATGTGTTTCTATAGATCATTGGCCAATAAAGGAGCACGGTCTGTCCTTAGATGGTCAGCATAACCCCACTGGCTAGACCAGGCTGATGCCTGGTACTTAGGAGGAAATAATCAATTACTGGAGACAAGAGCATCTCCTGACTTTCAGCAGACGCTCCATCCATGAGACTGAAAATCAGACCTGAATAATATGCACCAGATCCTGACCACTGCTCAGAACAGTCAGATGGTAAAGGAAATGTAAAATGATTTATCCAAACCAAAAATCTGTAAGTTACTCAGTAAAAGATGACTTACATGTAGCCAAACAAGAAATGCTTCATTCAGTTTTTTAAATTTTTACTTTTTTTTTTTTTTTTTTTAAAGACAGGGTTACTGGCTGGCTTGGAACTCATTGTGTAAGCCAGGCCAACCTTTAACTCACAGAGACTGGCCTGTTTTTGCCTCCTGAATGCTAAGGTTAAAAGCATGTGCCATCATGCCTGGCTTTATTCAACTTTTTGTCTGCACATTTGTCTTTCTCTGTAGACCTGGAGCCCTTGGAGAGCCTAAGACACATTGTGGACATGTCCAGCCTGAGCAGATGCTTTGCAAAGCCTGACTGCACAAGTCTGAGCATGCCTCATCTGTGTCACCTGGTCAGAAAGGGGCCTTCTAGAGTGGGGGGAAGCAAAGGCCCAGCCCAAAAGATGGCAAAACTATCAACTAGAGACGTTCCTGGCCCACAAAGATGGTTCAGTGATTAAAGCTGCCTACCCCCAAGCCTGACAATCTGAGTTTGACACTGTGACCCTCACAGTGGAAGGAGAGAACTGACTCCTAAAGCTGTGCCAGCCTGTGTAAACCAACAACAGCATCACACACCGAGCACACACGCACCCCCATGTGTGCACACGCACACACAAAATAAAAAGACAGGCTCCTACACCACTGTATGAAAGGCAACCCGAACCAAAGATTGGAACAGTCTCTGACAAAGGGGAGCCAGCCAAAGTGGCCTCAAGATCAGCGGTGGCCTGAACACCAAAACCCCAGAGATCAATAAGGAACTCCCTAAAGATAGAAATAACTCAGCTTTTGATACCATGATTACTGCTTGTTTCCTTATTTTTCACCTATCATAATAAAAAAGATAATAATAACTAGTGTTATATCTGAGTCTCAAATGTCTTTTGAAGACTCATGCTTAAGGTTTCAACTGCAGGGCTCTTGGGAGGTGGCTGGACAGGAGAGCTCTAACTCCACAGGATAACTGATGGTATTACTGAGAGGTGCAGACGGCAGCGCTGTGCAAAGCAGGTCCTGGGCATGCTCCTGAGGAGGAGCTTGCTCCTAGTCCTTCTTGCCTGTTTTCCCTCCTCCATTTCCTGGCCACCATAAGGTAAGCAACTTCGCTCTGCCATATCCTTCCACCACGGTACTCTTTGGCTTCACCATGGCCACAAACAATGGAACCAGATGACCATGTGCTTAAAATCCTAAAACTCTATGACAAAACCACTTCTCTAGGTTGTTTGTCACAGAAAAAGAAAAAAGGAAAAAAAGTCTAGTATGCCCAGTGTTAGAAACACCACCAGGTATGCTGGCACAAGCGTATTAATCCCAGTACTTGGGAGGCTGATGCACATGGATCTCAGTAAGTTCAAGGCCAGCCAGAGCTAGACAGACTATCTACAAACAAACAAACAAATGAAAAGTGCACCAAAATAAACAAACAGATACAGAAACATTAATTGGAATTGCTTTGGTATTGTTAAGTCTAAAATACATTAGAATTTAGCCAATGTTAGCAATTTATCCTAAAGGCAAAGAAATCAATGTGTAAGGAAGTCTTGTCTTTTTTCTTTTTAAGGAAGTCTTACTTGTAAACTAAAGAATCATATATAACTTCAATGCTGCATGACCAACAGCTGGAACTGAGCCATTTAAATTTGGCCAATAGTACACGGCATCTCCTCTGTTTAACATATTCCTACAGAGGCTGTGAGTATTCCAGCACTGTCCAGAATTAACAGGCAAAGTAAACCCGACAGGTACACCACTGGACCAGAGTAGGGTCACTTACCCCAAGGAATCTTATACAGCCACTGTAAACAGTGCCTGTGGCAAGGAGCATGCGCCATGAAGCACAGTTACGGAAAAGACTAAAACACAACTGGCTCAGGCTTTAACAGTGTAATGCCCACATACTCAAAAAAGAAACACAGGAGTTTCTTGGGATTTAGAAGCAGACTGGCATCTGAGACTCTGTAACTATTCCCAATGAAATACTCCACCAGAAAGCTGGCTTGCATTATGTGTGTCTGCTGGACCCTAAGTGGATGAACCGCTGGGGAAAGGCGGAGCTGCACACACCAGCAGCAAGCCACATTCTATATACACCAGCCCTACTCGGCATCAAGCCCCCAGCTGCTGCAGGTTTTCTATATGAAGAAGCAAAGCAAACCGGTGTCTAGAGGGCAAAACTCAGATGCTGATGGGAGCTCAGAAACAAGAGAGAAACAAATTTCTATAGCTTCTTATAGATAAAATTCAAAATTTAGTAACAAGGGACCTGAAGATATAGTTCAGCCACAAAGTACTTGTCAATATAAACACAGCAATGACAATGAAGGACAGTTTTCTGTGATGTAAGCCTAATGATGAGAAGAATGGAACCCCTTTTGGAGGGAAACAATTAATTCAACTGTGGCTAAAATTGTTTCAGTTTCTCACCCCATCCCTTTGTCTCACTGGCCAACAGCCAAGGCAGTTTTCCCTTGGAAATCCACTGGCCATGCTAGCAGAGAAACAGGCAGGCAATCTTCGCTCTCCTGCCATCTTCCAATTCTAATTCTGTCGCCGTAGTCTCAATCTCAACCCGATAGCAGAGCACCGCAGAGGCCTGCCTTCCTCTCTTTTTCCTTTCATTCATTATGGACTCCACGTATCTCCACGGCAGACCCAGCCTTTCCCCCTCCTGTGAACCCCGTCAGCCCACCCTTCCCCATCCTTCTAGTCCATCCCCAATCATGAATGTCAGTTCCCAATACTGAGAAACAAGTTCTACCCAGGGTCCTCCAGGGTCATACCTGGCTGGTACTCAGAAGCACTCCCTACCAGGCTACCATGCATTCTTAAGAGAAGCTACAGAGAGCAACAGAAATCAAAAAGTGGAAAACTCATCCAACAAAGACAAGCCTAGATGTCAACACCTAGAATTACAATTATTCCAAATCCAGATATACGAAGACATCAGTGTAAAAACATAATCAATAACTTCTATCCTGATTCATTTTCCATTTAGTAGTGAGACATGCAGTTTCCATGAGTTTGTAAGCCTTCTTTATTGTTTCTATTGTTGGTATCCAGCCTTAATTCATGGAAGTCAAATAGTACAATGTATTTCCACTAAAGCCCCGCAACCCTACTACAGCAGGCCCTGATAAATGCAATATAACTGAAGCATAGTTAAAGACTTCAAAATAGCCTTTATGAATATGCTCAAGGATCTTTAAAATGATATTAATACATTCATTAATGAAATCTATGAAAACAAAAACAAAGGGTAGAATGAAATGAAGAAAACTATTCAAGACATGAGAACAGAGATGAAATCAATAAAGAAAATCCAAATTGAGGGATCTGGAAATGAAAAATTCAGAAACTCAAACAAGAACCTCAGAGGCAAGCCACACTAACAGAATACAAGAAATGGAAGAGAAAATCTCAAGCACTGAAAACAAGATAGAAGAAATGGATACCTTGGTCAAAAAAATTTTTAAGCTGAAAAAGCTACAGGCACAAAACATCTAGGAAATCTGGGACATCATGAAAAGACCAAATCTATAAATAATAGGAATAGAGGAAGAAGAAACCCATTTCAAAGGCATATAAAACATTTTCCACAAAATTGTAGAAGAAATTTTCCTTAACCTAAAGGAGATGCCTATCCAAGGTAAAAGAAGCATACAGAACACCAAATAGACTAGATGAGAAAATAAATTCTTCATGACACATAATAACCAAAATACTAAATACTAAACATACAGGACAAAGAAAAAATATTAAAAGTTGCAAGGGAAAAATGACCAAGCAACCCATTAGAATAACATATGACTATTCAATGGAGACTTTAAAAGCCAGAAGGGCTAGCACAGATGTTCTATAAGCTCTTAAGACTACAGATAACAGCCCAGACTAATATACCCAGCAAAACTTGCAATCACAAGAAATGATTCAACTACAAGAAAGAAAGACAGTCCAAAATAAAACCAAATTTAAGCAGCATCTATCTACAAACTCAGCTCTACAGAAGGTGCTATGGAAAAAACCCTTCAATCTGAAGAGGTTAACCACAGGAAAAAAACATAAAGAATATATAATCTCAGACCAGCAAATCAAAAAGGTGGGACAAGGAGAACCCACACCACCACAACAAAATAACAGAAAATCAATAGACACTGCTCATTAATAACACTCAACATCAATGGTCTCAGTTCCAATAGAAAGACACAAATAAACAGACTGGGAAAACAAACAAACAAACAAAACAGGACCATTTCTTTTGCTGTATCCAAGAAATATACCTTAACACTAAAAATAGACATCAGCTCAGGATAAAAGGATGGAAAAAGATATTCCAAGTAAATGGAGCCAAGAAACAAGCCAATATATACAATAAAATAGACTTCAAACAGAAACTAATCCAAAGAGATAGGGAAAAACACTATACACTTAAAGGAAAAAATCTGCTGAGAGGATGTTATAATTCTTAACATCTATGGACAAACACAAGAGCACCCAAAAGAAACACTACACAGCTAAAATCACGTATTGACCCTCATACAGTGATAATGAGTGACCTCAATACTCCACTCTCTCCAACAGACAGGTTATCCAGAGAAAAATTAAACAAAGAAATGCTGGAGCTAACACACTTTATAAATCAAATATACCTAACAGATATTGATAGAACATTTCACCCAAACACAAACGAATATACCTTCTCAGCACCTCTAAAACTGACCACATACCTGGACAAAAAGCAAGTCTCTAGAGATATAAGAAAACTGAAATAGCCCCCTGCATCCTATCTGATCACCGTGGATTAAAGCTGGGTATTATCAATGGAAACAGCAGAGAGTTAACAAATTCATGGAAACTCAACAACTCATTATTAAAGGAAAGACAGAACTTTTTTAGAACTGAATGAAAATAAACATATCCAAACTTATGGAACACAATGAAGGCAATTCTAAGGGGCAAGTTTATAGCACTAAGTGACTACATTATTACCTTAACGGCATGCTGAAAAGTCTAGAACAGAAATGACTAACTGAAGTAGAAGTCTCTGGAAACTCAGCTGTATCATGTGAATATGTGTTTCCTTTCGGTCCCAAGTGTGGGATGTGGGAATGTGTTTCCCCCTGTGGAAAGAAACTACCTTGTGCGAGGGTATGGGTTTTGCCAGCTAGAAAACATCCTTGTGTGGACTCTGGAAAGGGATAGATAGAAGTCCGCAGACAGTGAGAGAATGCTTCATCGCTTTGCTGGCTTTCACAGAGAGAAACGCTCTGAAGACCTTCTCGCGCTGCTCTGGCAGAGTTTTGCTGCTTCTGCTGAGTGGCACCACCACCTTACTGCTGCTTTTCTGTTTGACTGGGCTACTGGTATCCCAATGACGGAGACTAGAAGGAGCTAAAAGAGTCTCCAGCCCCTTTCCCTACTAATCTCCTACCTAAGTTGGGGGGCGGGTAGAAGGAAGGTAGAGGCTTTTAAGAACCTTAAATAAAGTAGGTGTTTGAAAACTCTAAGCCTATAACTAATACCCAAAGGAGTAGATGGCAAGAAATAATCAAACTCAGGGCTGGAATCAATAAAACAAAAATGAAATACAAAAAGAAAAAAAAACAAACCAATGAAACAAAGAGTTGGTTCTTTGAAAAAAGATCGACAAACCCTTGGCCAAATTAACTAAAAGGCAGAGAGAAATGATTCAAATTAACAAAATTAGATATGAAAAGTGGGATATAACAACAGATACCCAGCAGCTGGAGAGATGACTCAGAGGTTTAAGAGCACTGGTTGCTGAGTTCAATTCCCAGCAACTACATGACCATCTATAATGAGATCTGCTGCCCTCTTCTGACATGCAGGCATACTTCAGGCAGAACAGCGCATATATAATAAATAAATCTTTGGGTTGGAGAGATGGCTCAGAAGAGTACTAGGTACTCTTCCAAAGGTCCTGAATTTAATTCCCAGCAACCACATAGTGTCACAACAGATACCAAGGAAATGCAGAGAATCATAAGGACATACTTTAAAATCTATAACATATTGGAAAATTTAAAAGACATGGATAATTTTCTTGATATATACCATCTACCAAAGTTAAATCAAGATGAGATAAGCAATTTAAACAATCTATAGACCATAGTGAAATAGAAGCAATCATTAATATCTCCCAACCAGGGCTGGAGAGATGGCTCAGCAGTTAAGAGCACTGGCTGCTCTTCCAGAGGTCCTGAATTCAATTTGAACCAACCACATGGTGGCTCACAACCACCTGTAATGAGATATGATGCCCTCTTCTGGTGTGTGTGAAGATGGAGCACTCATCTTAATTAAATTAATTAACTGATTTAAAAAAGCTCCCAACTAAAAAAAAAAAAAAAAAATCCTGGGGACAAAGGGTTTCAGCACAGACTTCTACCAGACTTTCAAAGAAGAATTAATGCCAATTCTCCTCAAATTTCTATAAAATAGAAACAGAAGGAATACTGTCCAATTCTTTTTATAAGGCTATAGTTATGATACATAAGCCACATAAAGACTCAACAAAGAGAATTACAGACCAACTTCCCTTATGAACATGCAAAGTTTCACAATAAAATACTTGCAAACCAAATTCAAGAACCTATCAAAACGATCGTCTACCATGATCAAGTAGGCTTCATCCCGAAGATGTATAGGAATTGTTCAACGCAAAGTTGCACGGCCACCAGATCAGAAAAGACTTTTGACAAAGTCTAATACCCTTTTGTGATAAAAGTCCTGGAGAGACTAGGGATACAAGGGACATACCTCAACATAATAGAGGCAATTTATAGCAAGCCCACAGCCAGCGTCAACCTAAGTGAAGAGACACTCAAAACATTTGCACTAAAATCAGGAACAAGACAAGGCTATCCACTCCTACACCTATTCAATATAGTACTTGGAGTCTTAGCTAGAGCAATAAGACAAATGAAGATCACAGGGATACAAAGAAGAAAGAAAGAAGTCACAGTATCTTTATTTGGAGACAATATGATTATATTATATTATACATAACTGACCCTAAAAACTCCTCCCAGAAACTCCCACAGCTAATAAATACTTTCAGTAAAGTAGAATAAAAAATTAATAACAACAACAAAAATCAGTGATCATAGCATACAGGGACAGTCATGTACTTGGCTGCATACATGCTTATAAAATTTTATTGCAACTGCTTTTCAAGATTTCAGCATTTTTATCTTGAGGTGTTGTTTGTTGTTTCCTAAGACTAATACAGCCTACAAATCACAGGAAGACAATGAGGATCTAGAACTAAGATGTGGAAAATGGGAATGCTGCTGAGGAAAGGGCCTGGGTCCAAGAGCCAAAACCCTAGCTATGAATTTGAGCTGAGCAGCGTTTCAACTCACCTTCCTGGAGGCCTGGCACCAGCTTGTAAACAATGTCCTGCATGGTTCTGTCATGACTGCAAAAAGAGAACAGGTGTGGGGGGTGTCAGCCGATGTACATGCTAACATTATTCACATATTCTATTTAACAACTTGAGGCTGGATTTCCTTCTAGTTTGCAATGGAAAATGTGCTTAAAATTATCTAGGACTTGAATTGATGCATTATTTATTTTACGTTCCAGCTGTTGGGATAAGAAAGTCACTCTGAGAACAGTGACCCCTGCTTCCTGGCCCAAGGGTTAGGCTCAACTTGCTGGACACGAGCAAACATGAAGGTTCAGACAACTACTTTATCTACATTCGGTCTCCTATCATAGTTTGCCATTTTTAAACATAAAGTATAATTATGTAAAGTAATTTCTTGATTAAAGTGTTAAAGAATTTAATTTTCAAAGCTATTTTAACTTCTAATTTGTATTCTATAAGCCTGTATGAATCCAGTAACTGACCAGTGATTACACTTCAACAAACGCACTGGAATCCAGCCAACCTGGGCTCAGTCTAGTGGCTCTCCTAGTGCCACTGCAGCCACCTCGTGGCCGTAAGCCACCCATCCCTCACTGCATGCACCAACTGCTGGAAGCTCCTGGCCACGAGGCCCAACTGTACATCGTATGGTAGTCACATGGAACTGCAAGCCTCGTTCCCTCTGTCCACATGAAGGAGCACGGCTCACACCTAGACCAGGATGTATGCACTCAGGTGCAAAGTTGGACTTTGTACACTGGAGCCTGTGCTGACTGGTTTTGCCAACTTGGCATAAACTAGAGTAACCTGGGAAGAGGGAAGACCAGTTGAGGAACTGGCCCATTACACTGGGTCTATGGTCATGGGTGGGGTAACTGATTTAGGAGAGCCCAGCCTACTGTGTGCAGTGTCACCCCTGAGTGGGTGGTCCAAGATTGTACTGGTAACCAGGGTGAGCAGACCTGGAGAGTAAGCCAGTGGGCAGCATTTCTTCATGGCTCTACTTTAGTTCCCATCCTGAGCCTTTTGGGGCTGAACTGTTATCTGGAAGTAGAAGCCAAATAAGCCCTTCCCCCCCCCAGCTTGGTTTTGGTTAGTGTTTTACCACAGAAACAGAGAAGCAAACTATGACAGGCATTTGATGCCTCTGACATCTTCCACCACACCCACCTAGCTTTTGCTGGAGCTCATAGATCAAGACCAGAACTCCAACACTTGGGTACCAAGCAATGACACCAGGTTTTGCCAAGTCCAGCAAGAGGGCTAGGAAACGGAGGTAAGTGGAACACATAACACAGGGTACTTTTTGGATGGAAGGCTCTCTAAATGGAGCTGTTTCTTCAAAGTGAACACGCTCACCCTGCAGGCTGACAGTGGCATTTTCAACATTCTCTGAAAGGTCTCTACCACCTGCCTACACCATTCCTCCTAGTCTTGGTTGCACAACTTTCCACCCTAAATCCTGAAATGCAAATGCTGAAGCCAAGAAAACCCCTTCTACATAACAGCACAGGGCCCAAAGGCTTTCTCGCCTTGCCCCTAATAGACAATCAGGCAAAAAGGTGGGGGTAGGTGAAGCCAAGTCAGGAGCAGAGGCTGGGACCAGCAGAGGTATCACCCTACACAATTTCAGACAGAATCCAGGCATTGCCAGTGAGAAAGGAGCTAAGAAAGCTGGAGAGTAGCTCAACTTGCTTGCCTTGCATTCACAAAGCTCCTGATTTGATCCCCAGCATTGCACAAATGAGGTATGGCAGAACACACTTATAATCTCAGCACTTAGGAGGTAAAAGCAAGAGGATGAAAAGTTCAAGGCTACACAAAACCCTGTGTCGATTAAACCAAAGAGAGAGAGAGGAGCTAAGAGCCCTTAGAGATCAAGGGTTTACGGCAGGCAATAGCTACTTCCTACCCAGCTCATAATGTCAGTCACAACACTCAGGCCAAGACGCCACCCTGCTGCCTTTGCTTAGCCAACACCTGGTCCATTGCCGTGCTCCTTCCTTAATTCTCGTTGGTGTTTGTATAACAATCTAAGCTTCCACAAGAGGGTACCCACAAAATAGCTCTTGTGTGTTCTGTCCCCCACAGTAAACTCTAGTAACCCTAAAGGCAACAGCTTCCCCAGCCTCCAACTCCAGCCCCAAGGAAGCCCCTCACCATTCCTGTTAGCAGGTTTCAAATGGGAAGCCAACCTGCTTCTGAGCTCTACACAACTGCAGTGACACAGCTTGTGCCGTCATGAGGCACATGAAGACAGAAAAAGCAGACAGAGCCCTCAGACAGGTGGTATCACAAGGAAGCCCCAACAGAGAACTGATGTACAGGAAAGCACCAAGCTTAGAGATAACTATGAGAGTGGGCTGAGATGTGCGCAGAGCCACCATGGTGAGAGAATGAAAAACCTACCACCATACAGTGTTGGCCAGAACACAGAGCGTAAGAACTTGGTTCAAGAGCCAGCATGAATACGGACAGAGATCTTAAAATCAGATGTCCTCTACCCTCTGCTCATGTGGACACTGGCACAAGGACTCAGGACAATATGAAACACCAAGAGCTGCTAAATATTATTTACATGTCCACCACACAGGACACGCAGACCATGAGGCCTTACTAAGAGCCTGTGTGAATAGATGATTTGGCAATGAAGTTAGGCACACAGAAAACACACTCTTATCTCAATCTGGGAAGTAAAAACAGTGGCTCAATAGTGTTATCTGGGAGCCTGGCAGGACTTCCAAGGTCAGACAACTTGAACTGCTACTGCTCCTGGTTGTGCATGTGACTTTAAGCTGTGCTCCTCTTTCTTTTAGTTCATCTTCTCTCTGATTCCCTCATGCCATATTGCCTGTGATTTCATTTCCTTCAGAGTAGCCCTTGAAGTCAGAAATTCCACGTATAGGCCCTTGCATCTCTGGCTCAAGTTCCAGCCTCGGGGCAAGTTACTACTCTAAAGAAAGTAGGTCGGGGGTCCTTTCCACTTCAAACTTTTAGTTTAAGAAAACTTATAAAGCCAGGTGTGGTGGCGCAGCCTTTTAATCCCAGCACTTGGCAGGCAGAGGTGGCTGGATATCTGTTCAAGACCAGCCTGGTCGACAAAGCAAGTTCCAGAACATCCAGGGCTCTGTTACACAGAGAAACTTTGTCTCAAAAAACTAAAAAAAAAAAAAAAAAAGAAAGAAAGAAAAGAAAAAGAAAACTTGTAAGATTCCATTTGTTCTCATGGTCCCCTAGGCAGGTGCCACTGGCAATCCATGGGCATGGCCCTGGTCACTCGCAGTTCATGATCTGGGGACCGAGAACAAGCTGGCTGCCACCACGCAGATATTCGGGCAGCGGCCAGGGAGCCACAGCCCGGCGTTACTCACCCGATGTACTGCAGCGGGTGGCTCTGATGGATCACGATCCTGCAGGTGGGGCAGGTGTTATTCTCCTCCAGGTACTTCACCAGGCAGCTCCTGCAGACTAGCAAAGGGAGAGGATGACAGCAACCCAGAACACAGGTGCTGGCTGGGGCCACACCCAGCCAGCACCAAGAGGGCTAAGAGGACACCCTCCTCGCTATAGTCCCTGACCTCCGAAAAGAAGTACCCCTGGGCTGCACTGTGCCGCCACCTCCTGTTACACACTCCTAGCCTGGGAACTAACCGGGGAGAAACGTCAAAGTGGTTAAGTCACGAGGTGGCAAGAGCATGAGAATATAACTAATATTTAAAAATCTGTATTTTGGTGGCTGGAGAAATGGCCCAGAGGCTAAGAGTACTGTCTGCTCTTCCAGAGGTCCTGAGTTTAATTCCCAGCACCCACATGGTGGCTCACAAGCATCTATAATGAGATCTGGTACCTTCTTCTGGCCTGCAGGTGTACATGCAGATAGAATGCTGTATAAATAATAAATAAAATCTTTGAAAAAAAAATTCTATATTTTGACCTAAAGAAGACAACACTGTCTTCTACAATAAAAACTAGATGAAAATCAGTGAAACTGCCTAACACAAAATGGTACCATAAGTTTCTAACAATACAAGTAATCTCAGCCTAAAATTTCTTCAGAAGTGGAAAACATTTTCAAAAACACAAACTGTATAGGATGGAAATTATATGTGCTGTGAGTTTTTACTTTCTGAACTGCCTCTCAGTGGTCAACAGACCCACGTCCAGGCAGCAGTCCTGCTTCCAGGTGATCCACCCAGGATGTCTGTCTTCCCGTAAGAAAGAAAAATTAAGGAAAAACACTTAGGGGCTGGGAGGATGGCTCAGTGTTTAAGAGCACTTGGTGGAGTTGCAGAGGACCTAGGTTTGGTTTCTAGCATCCACAGGGTGGTTCAGAACTGTCAGCAACTCTAGTCCCAGAGGATCCAACGCCTTCTCTGGCCTCTGCTGGCACTGCAAGCATGTGGTGCACAGACAGACACAAAGTCTAAACACTTGAAGACAAAAATTACAAAAAATACCAAAATAACAACACAACAACAAAACCATTCTGCACAGGTGCAGGCCTGACAAGCAGAATGAGTCACATGCAACAGGCACCATACTGACCCTTGGAATCCCTCAGACGCTTGACTGTTAAAAGGCTTCACTTGAGATTTTACAACCCAAGTACCTCCAGTGGCCGACTTGGCAGACAGAAAAAAAAAGTAGTTTTCCTCTGTTTAGCTTTCCTAAGAGAAACCTCCCTCCAGGAAGTTACCCGCAGCAGCTCTAGTTTAAGGTAAGCTTTCCAACCCCTCTCAACAGCTTTGCTCTTCTCCTGGCCCTGCTGTCCTTGTGCCCAGGCTAACATCCTAAAGACTGTGCTGGAGCAGCCCCCACCACATTCAGACCAGGGTAGAACTGATGGTACTCACATGTGTGCAAACACTCAGTCACTGTGGTTGCATCGATGAGGTAGCCGCTGCACAGGCGGCAGGTGATGTGGGCGTTTATATCCCAGAGTTTAATCTTCCTGGTCAACATCTTTGGCTTCTGCAAGAGAAATACACTGCAGTATCTGTGATGACAAATCTTGACTGTCAAATTGACTACATCTGGAATGAACTAAAACCGGAAAGTCTGAATGTACCTATGACGGATTTTTTTTTTCCTTAATTAAATCATTTGAAGTGGGAAGACCCACTTTTAATCTGGATCTTGTGAAGAAGATACATCTTTAATCCATCTCTTTTGAGGTGGGAAGATATATGTTTAATCTGAGCCACAAAAGAACAAGAAAGAAGGAAGCTTGTTCTTTTTGCTTGTACTCGCTGGCAAGTCCATTCCTTCACTGGCATTGTAGTCGCCTTTGGGATTCAAGGCTCTACTGAAGAACAGCTGAGATACCTAGCTTCATGAACTGTAAACAATGACTGGATTCTTAGACTTTCTGTTGGGAGACAGCCATTGCTGAACTGGCTGGACCATAGCCTGAAATCAATCAATCAATCAATCAATCTCTCTCTCTCTCCCACTCACACACACACTCAATATGTTGTTTCTCTAGAACTCTTAATACACAAGGTATCTGTTTCCTTCCTAGCTTGCCTTTACTCTATCCATAGACATAGTAGGTGTAGGACCCATCCCAGCCTTTTTGCTGGACACAGGGCCCATCACATCTCATCCTATCATTGAACATGCTTCAATGGTAAGTGGAGTTCAAACCTCAACTCATGGGACTGCCACTAGCCACCATACTGTCTATCAGAAGGTCTCAGAGCCCAACAGGAGGATAGATAAGGTCCTGTGGATCCAACCTAATCCCCAACCACTCTGACCTGGATCTGCCTGCCACATGGCCTTTGAACATTACAGTTGATACCTAGGTCCAGTCCTACCTCAGGAAATTAGTCATCCTCATCCTTGTATTTTTTGTGACAGTGGACAGTTAGATGTCCACTCAATGCCGGAGGAAACTAACTTATGACACTTCCATCACCAAGTGACCACACCTAGATCACGCTCACCAACTGCCTTTTGGACACTCACACTCAGGGCTGAGCATGGCTATACAGTCACAACAAAGTGCATCCTGACCATGGTACCACTTCTAAGCATGCACCTCTCCTAGGCAGCTAATCAGTAGTACACGCCTACTCCACCCTGAACTAATGGTACAGAGTATAAAGAAGGCAAGCTCTTCACTCTTGACACAGAGCCCAGACCTCCTCCCCTAGATGGCAGGGCTCCTTGGAGGAATCCAGACCTCACCTCCTCTGGATGTCTGCGTGTCCTTCCTCACCCGGTGGCATGGAGGCTTCAGGCCACCAAGTGGATGTGATGATCACTCCTTATTTTGAGTTCTGGCTGGCTTCTGTACCTTCCTTCTGTCCCTTGTTCCTTTTCCATTTTCTAGTGCAAAGATAGCACTGTTACTTCAAGTACACTGATACCAGTCCTGCACACAAGCCCACATTAAACCCTTAATACAGCTTAGATAAATCTTACATATTAAATCACAGGACAGAGCCCACCAAAAATGCTGGCAGACAATCAACTCCAATGACAGCTGCTAGAGAACAAACTTCAAGGAAATATGCGGGGACCACCACACTGAGTCAGGCAGCCCGAGAGGAAGATGAGCTTCGGCTGCACTTACCTGTGAATGACAGCCTGGAATCAGGGCTACATTGTGAAGTCTGTGGAGAAGCAAAGACTGGGGTCACCATGGGAGGACCTTGTCTCACCCTCTCCCCCCAGCAACACAGGTACTGTTTGGTTAAACACGCTTATTTAAGTATCAAGTGAGAAGGATGATAAAGACACCTCAGCAGAGGCACCTCCCAGAGTTCCTAAGCCCTGTCCAACCCAGGAAATACACTGCTAATAGTGCAAAGGAAAGAGAAGGTGGCTCCACTGTTTGCTTTGGGGCCCAAGGGGCAGGATAGGGAATCTGTAGAAGCTCCAGCCGACAGAGGACTTCAGGGGTTACCCCAGAAACCTCAAGAGACAATGAGTTTGTGGTACACTTTGTTGTTCACTTCACTTGATGCCTGCAATTTCTATATCCTCACACCTACACTAAACTGTTCTCTCCTAGTCACAGACTTGCCACCCATTCACTGACTGTGTCCTGAACCCATGTGGATGGTTCCCTAACCAGGTTTGAGCCAGGTATTCAGGCCAGGGTGTGGAGATGGGCAGCAGGTAGAGACATCCTGGTAGAGTGAGCTCCGAAGAAATGACTGTGCAGGCTCTCTGCTTCCTGACTAATGTGCTCTGAGGGTTTCTAGGAACCTGCTGGGGATTCCTTGGTACTGCCCTTGAGTTCAGGGGGTTTTCCACGTGAAAAAGGTGTTACTGGTAAAGGGCTTAGTAAGGTGCCTGCTGTCTTAACTAGACAGTACCAGAACACCAGGTATTTGTAGTTTAAGGATTGATTACATACAACCTGGAGACAGCGTACCCTAGATGTTCTTAAATGAACTCCCTCTTAAATACAACTCAGTTATTTCACCTTTAAATTTTCTTCAAAGAGTTTTTATTTATGTGCACACACATGTATACATGTTCATTACACACATATATGTAATGTTTGAACAAGTGCCTGCAGAAGCCAGAAGAGGGAATTGGATCCCCCGAGGCTAAAGTTACAGACTGTTGTGAACTGTTTGACGGAGTGCTAAGAAAGCAACTTGAGTCCTCTAGTGGGACGAGTTTGCACTCTCACCCACTAGGCCCTCTCTCCAGCCTCAGAACTGCATTTGCTTATTAACTAATCCCAGGAAACTTGTACAAAATGAGGAAGAGAAATGGAAAGGTAGAAGGGGTGAGTATGTCCTACCAGATAAACCAGGGGAGGGTTACAGTTGTGTTAGAAACAGGAAGAGGTGAAGCCAGGTCAAGGCCAGGCCCATCTTAAACTAGCCCCTGTCTAGTACGGAAGCCACTAACCACATGAAATTGCTGTCCCTTGAAACTTGGTGGTTCCTGTGACAAAAGAACCAGAGTGTCACCCATCCATCCAATGCTTTAGATAGGGTTCCAATATGTAGCCCTGGATAGCCTAAAACTCCCTATAGACCCTAGACTGATCTCAAAGTTACAGTGATTATCTTGTCTAAGCCTCTCAAGTGTTGGGCTTACAGGTATAAGCCACTATACCTGGCTTTCTAATCATATTTAATTCAAGTGCTGAGACTAAAGGGGTGTGGACCACACCTGGCTTATATGTAATTTTAAAAAATGACGTTTGCATAAAATGGATAAATTCTTGGGGGGGGGGGACATAGATTGAGAGTAGTAAAGAAAACCCAAAGACCTGATAGACTAGGATCAGAGGGAAGGGGAGGAGGACCTCCCTTTTCAGTGGACTGGGAGAGGGACATGGGTGGGGAAGAGGGAGGGTGGCATTGGGAGAAGAGGGAGGGAGGTAAAGGGGAGATACAAAGTGAATAAACTGTAATTAATAAAAAAATAATAAAAAGGAAAACCCAAAATACTCCCTATTTTGGGAGCTGAATAAATAGTCACAAAATGGGGGCTGGAGAAATGGCTCAGAAGTTAAGAACACTGGCTGTTCTTCCAAAGGTCTTGATTTCAATTCCCAGCAACCACATGGTGGCTCACAACGGTCTATAGTGAGATCTGGTACAGAATACTGTACAAATAAAAAATAAATAAATAAATAAATAAAATAAATAAATAAAGTCACAAAATATTCTTCAAATAAAACTCTGGGTCTACAAGGCCACCATATCTGAGAGCAAATCACCCTTTCAGCTGGCAAAAGTATTTGGAGCTAGATACACATTTGTCTGTCCTGCACCAAGCCCTGAGTTCACATTCCCAGTACTATGCACAGTTAAAAAAAAAAAAAAAAAAAAAGGTCTCTAACTCACTTTATGAATCTAACTACTAGCCATACACCAAACTGTAGCAAGATGAGATTTGGAAGGAACTAACAGACCTGCCTGACCCTAAGCAAAGAGTCGGCCACCTCAATTATCAGTACACAGGAGAGTCACTCAGGACCAAGTTAGGTGCATTCAAGGGACACGACTCGATAACAGTGCAGGAAAACTTCACTCACCCCTAAAGGTAAAAGTAGAACACCACCTGCTCTTCCCAAAAGACATGTAAAAATTATCTGATAATATCAATCACCCATTTATTAGTTTTAGAAATCCCCTACTGAAGGAGGCTCTAACACACGACTGCTCAGCAACTCAGATGGGAATAGCTCCATGTGCAGAAGTCTCACGAGTGACCGGGATGCCCTCCAGCAGGCAGCCCATGAAAGGACAGGCCACACAGCAGCTGCTCCTCAGCAGTTAGGGAAAGAAGGGTGCTCCCAGCTGTGCAGGGCTCTCTGGGGGAGAAAACTGTCCACAAAGAACAGTGCCACTCTCGTGGGGCGAGCTGCCTGCTGTGGGCTGGCTAGCATGGGCAGCCCACAGGTCTCAGGAAGAGGCCTGGAGCTCCTATTACACAATGAACTAATGAAAAGAGTAGCTTACAATTTAAAACAGGTGACCCTGAAAGATGCGTAGCCAAAATCCCTCAGGAACTGCTAACGCTCAACAGAGTATGTGACGGCATGTTCGAATGCCAAGTAGCTCAGGGGTGCTCATTACCTTTTCTGTTCTTTCTGTCCCCGTCCCGAGACAGGGTTTCTCGGTGTAGCCATGGCTGTCCTAGACTCACTCTGTAGACCAGGCTGGCCTCCAACTCAGAGATCTACCTGCCTCTGCCTCCCAGAATGCTGAGATTACAGGAATGTGCCACTGGGCCCAGCTTCACTGCCTTTTCTAACTAATGATCACATTACTGGGCTATGTGACTCTATCAAGAATTGAGAAACACATATCTACAACACATTAGAGCCATAATGGGGACCAGGGCTTGGCAAACCCAGGCCCTCAAGACAGAGTGATGCTCCTCTCAATGTGACAGGCCAGCCATGCCCAAAATAGAATTTGGTTTTTAGCGAAACTTTGCCCACTTCTGCTCTAAATGATGAAAAGAGCTTCACTAAAAAGAAATCCAAATTAAGTGAATTCCAGCTGATCGACTTTATTACTAAACAAGAGTATGAATTAAAAACCCTGCGAGACACACTGACAGAAGAGTGTGCTGGTGAGTCATGGTGCCCTAACCCTAACCTTGCACTGTGGGAAGGAAAAAGGCTGGCATTCTGTAATAAAGGCAACACATACACCCTGCCAAACTCTTTTCTGGAGGCTGTAGCACTCAAAAATTAGCTAAGTCTCGGAACCCCTACCATATCCATGCAGCCAAATGGCCAGCCTGGTCCTCACCAGATCTTCTAAGCAGCACCTGTTTTGGCTGCTTGCACACTGCACATCATGACCCCCGTGGTTACGAGAACACACGTGCATGTGGACATGGCAGACCATAGCAACGCTGGGACAGACAGTACGGGAAGGCGGCAGGCATGTAGGCCACTTGTCTTGATTGCTGAAGGTGGGAGCTGTGTCTACACTCCTGTGCACACTTATGAATCAGGGAATGGGAGCAAAGGCAACTCACACTCCTTTCCTTTTTTCCAAAACGGTTTCTCTGGGTAGCCTTGGCTATCCTGGACTTACTTTGTAGACCAGGCTGGCCGCAGACTCACAGAGATCCGCCTGCCTCTGCATCCCTGAGTGCTGGAAATACAGGTGTGTGCCACCATGCCTGGCTTTCACATTTCTTATAAGCAAATAGATTCCCTGGTATGGCAGACCTGGGCCCAGAACACTCTGACCCCTCTGCACCTGGTCTGGCTTGTGGATTCACCCAGGAGCCTCCCAGGGTTGGGGTTCACATGCCCTAACTTTAGTCAACAGCTAGTTGTCACAGAGTCTCGATTTATCTCAGCTTTGTCACACACAGACATCTGAGTGATAATTAACACTGAAAAACATGGCCCGTAAGATATTTCTGCACATAAAGGTGCCTCTTGCCAAGCCTGAATGGCATGAGCTTGATCTTTGGGGCCTACACTGCAGGAGAAAACCAATTCTCGAAAACTGTCTTCTAATCTCCACAGGTGCTTCAGCATGCCTGTGGCCACCCCCACCCACACAAATGTTAACTCAAAAGTAAGGAAAACTTTTTAAAAGAAGTTTCTTACGCTGGAAAACTGGCTAGAGAGTTGCCTCAGGTGGTAAAAGCACTTGCTGCCAAGGCTGACACCAGAGTTCAATCTCCAGGACCCACATGGTGGAAGGAGAGAACCAGCTTCCACAGCTGTCCTCAGAATGCCAAACATGCCCACTCACCAAAGCAAATAATAAGAATGTAACTTTAAAATGTTTTTAAAACTGGAAAATAGAACTTCAGTTAATCCTGGCTCCAGTTAATGTCATAGAAACTACTAGCCATGCAACCCAGGTACTTCTTTACATAGCCTTAGATAAGGACAACCATTAAACCCAAGCTTGCAGATATTGTCCTTGTCCTGCGGACACTGTCCTTGTTCAGTAGGTGCCTGCCTGCCTAGCACCACCCTAGATTCAGTCCTAGCATGGCGGTATATATCTGTAATCTCAGCATGTGGGACGTATAGGCAGAAAGACCAGAAGCTCAAGGTCATCCTTAGCTATATGAGTTTGATACCACCCTGGGTTACAAAAGACCCTGTCAAAAAAAAAAAAAAAAAAAAAAAAGAAAGAAAAGAAAAGAAAGAAGCAGT